ATCCCGAAACTCGATATTTTCACTTGCCATCGATCATCAATCAGACAGTTTTTAGAACTCAAGTATCCATGAAGATGTAGAATGGAAGAATGAATGAACGCAAGTCCGTTTGCTATGTCATGGATTAAAGAGAACATGAAAAAGGCATCCATTTGCATGGAGCTTCTTTCAATGACATCAGCCAATGATCCTCTTGAACAATATCTATACACAGACATCAGCTGGGGACCATTCAGACACAAACCAATGAACTTGTTTATATTGTCATGATCGAGACTTCTCATCTGAATTTAGAAATGCTCAGCATAATTTTGATGTAAAAATTTAATCTCCAAGAGATTCTAACTCACTTGTCTTCTCCAAATAGTATCATTTTGTAGAACTTGCTGAGTACTATCATATCTAATTTAGTTGATCCAAAAATATTATTTGTGAAAGAAACTATAGCAAGGGCCGCGAAGGGCCCTGTCACAATTATGAAAATCGCATTGTGTCCATCCGAATTGTTGTACCCTCCGAGTTATTGGCCTAATATTCCAATTTCGAAATTTTCGAAATTTCGGATAAAAGTTTTTTTCAGTTTTTGTAATTCTCAATAAGAAAAAAATTGCTCAACTTCCGGAAAAATTTTTTCAATTTTAAGTTAGCACAAAAACTTGAAACTTTGATTCCAATGACGAATTGTCTGGAATTCGTTCATCACTATTTTCTTCAATTTCTCTTCGTTCCATTCTTCTATTGAAATTCATTGTTTCGGGTTTCTATAAAAAGTGGGGAAGAATTCGAAAGAAACCACCAAAGATGCTTCTCTTCTACATCATCCTGCTCATTGGAGCTGCTTCTGCGGCTAAACGTGAGTCTGGAACCTTCGAAGTTCAAAAATAACTGTTTTATTAAGCGAAATACGGCAATTGTTTGGAAGGAGATAAGATACGCCATGAGGTTGATGCTGAAAAGTATTATCAATGTGTGAGAAACAAATGGGTTTTGCTTGAATGCCAAATTAACTACTACTTTAATGTTGTTGTGAGTTTCTATAAATCTTTAAAAGTCTCCCTAATTCCTGATTCAGACTGGTTTCTGCGAGTTCTATCGTGTTACTCCAATGCCTCCAACTCCACCACCCATGAGGGTCTGTCGTCCAGGATCCAGAAAACCGGATGTTTTTGACAACACGAGATACTTGGAATGTACTTATGATGGAAAGGGATTCATCGTAAGATACTGTCAACCTGGAGCAATTTTCGTCAGTTCTGAGAATATGTGTGTGAATATTCGACCAACGTACACTCCACCAACTCTACCAACATATACACCACCAACTCCAGCAACTCCTTACTACGGAGCATGCAAGGAATCTGCCGGAAGAGATGGATACAAGCCCGATATCTTCAATTGTAGAAAGTTCTACAAATGTGCATCAGGTGAGATATGCATAGGGGTTGTCGAAGATCTAGTCTCCACACTTCTAGTTTCCATACTCGTAAAACGGGCCCAGACGGGCCTTCGCAGGCTTTGCCACAGTTTTTTTTAGATTCAACATTTTAGACCAATTAAATTAGCTGTGATAGAACTCAACCAGTACTACAAATTGACACTAATCGGAACATTTTATCTTGACTAGAAACAAAGTTACAGAAGCCAAGTAAATCGACCGTGAAGCTCACAAGTCAGAAGGCTTGTCAGAAGGTTTTCTTTTAACTTTGTTAATAAACAAGATACAGTTTTCTAAATAATGTCATTTTGTAGTACTTGTCGAGTGCTATCATGCTGATTTATGTGTTTTCAGTATCATCTGAAAATTTTATTTAAAAAAATCAAAAAAGGAATTTAACCATTTTCAGACTTTCATTTATTCTTTTACAAATAAAGTACAAAATCGAGTTCTTCTAAATTCCAGGGCTGTGGACCCAAATGAGTTGTGGACAAGGAACGATTTGGAATCAAGCAATCCTGACTTGTGATCACGATAGAGGACAATGCTCTTATCCTCCAGTAACCACAACCTATCCAACCACTTGGCATTCAACCACTTGGTGGCCAACCACCAGATATCCAACGAACCCATTCAAAAAGTAAACCATTTTTTTGTTTTTTGGAAACGTAAATGTTAATTATGAAATAATGAAGTTTTTTCCGGCATTTAATTCATTCTCATTTTTCCTTTTCAATTTCAAACTCACAAATAGAGAAACTCGATAGAAATGGCTCTTGCAGTTGAAAGTGGTCCTGAAAAAAAGGTAAAAAACCTGAACGAGTTGTCCATTATGAAACTTCAATGTACATCACCGGAACGTGATATGATCGTCTATCCAAGGTAACGACTTCTAAGAATTTTCGTGGATTCTGAATTTTCTATATTTAACAGATGGCTGTGCTTCAACTCTCAAAACGGATACAAAACTCCACTTTTCGTTAGGTTCTTCGTGGAAAATCGTGAACCATATCCTGTGACATACAATGTGAAGGCAAGGGAAAAGATCTTCCGTGTGGACTCGTCGAGTGGAATTCTGAAGTCTGGAGAGAGAAAAACAATCAAATTGTTTCTGATTTCATCTGATGATTGGCCTTTGTCATTTGGAGAATACACCCAAAAACGGATTAAAATGGCTATTGAGTGTCTCAGATTGCCAGAACAAATTGAGCCGAGCAACCCAAAAGTGAGATTTTAAGATATTTTCTAAGACCTGAAAGTGGAAATCATGCAAAATATTTTCAGGAAGCAAGCATGATGGCAAAAACCATCTGGAAGAGATCTTTCAACGAGTGGCCACTGGAGCGCATTTACACAAAGGTATACTGGAGTTCTCCATTCTTTTCAAGAATTCATTTTATTTTTCAGGTCAACATTTTCATCGTCTCTTAAGCTAAAATGGAAGAGCCAATGACTACAGTAACCACAAAATATTCTTTGTGAACTATCAAAATGAAATAAAATCTTTGAACTTTTCATTTGAAATTTTCTACAAAATGCTATATAAAAATAGGGTGAATGACTAGTTGATATCTCTCAGAAAACTATTCGCTTTGTCATGATATTTTGGTAGTGTTATATGAGAAAACCGATGATTTGAAGATGGAGATTTTTGAGTTGTTGTACTTTCGGATGCTTCTTCTTCGTCCTCTTCTTCTTCTTCTTCTTTTTCTTCTTCTAAATCCTCATGAGATTCAGATTTCGTAAAAGGGTCAAAATTGGATGACGTGGATTCTTCAGAAGTCGAATGTGAAGTGGAGGGTGATACCTAGAAATAGAAAAAAAATTAAAAAAGACCTTTGAAATTCTAAACAAACCTTCTCTTCCTCCTTGAGTCTCCTCTCAATAATACTCCGGTACTGTTCATTTTCTCCATTTTCTTCGTCTTCGACTAACAATGATTTCCCGTATCTAACCCGATGAAACGTATCTAATGCTTGATCACAAGAGTCTGCTGATTGCTCTAAACACACTTGACGTGCTCGGAGGAACGCCTTCCGTGATTCTGGCGTCATATCAGATCTTCTCACTTCTGGTTTTTTATCTTCATTCTTCTTTTTTGGATTGTCCACAAGACTGACGGCGTCATGAGATTCACCATTGATCTGGAAATAGTTGTTTTGTTGGTGTTATTTGAAGTTTCCCAATTTACCAGAAACATCAATTCCAAATTTGATTCTGCCTAATTTTGAGAAAATAAGTTCTCCTCAGAGTATCAGATTTCAGTCATTCCTAATTTGGACCATGCCAATCTACTTATTCTGGTTCATTACTACTATGCTTTACCTCTTCCTATCGGTTGTGTTCAAAGCGAAAAGGATATAAATTATGTCATGTTTTGCTACTATGTTTTTGGAAAATTGTAACTTGAAATTATTTTCACATTTGTCTAAATTTCATAAAATGAAGACTTCAGAAGCAGCTAAGAATTTTCAAAAAAAAGATCAGTGAATTTAAAGTTTTCAATCTAGGTCTATTTTACACTCTCCGAAATTTTCAAAGTGATCTGAACCATGACAGTCGAGATCCTAACTTCTGAAAATGTTCAAAATGGCCGAAAATCAATTGAAAATTACGTTTTTGTATATCTTACTGTCTATTCAATAAAACGTGGGCGCCCGCGGGTTGCAAAGTGAGAAAAAATCTGTTCTCTGTGAAATTGCACTCCTTTATTTTTATTTTTCACTACGCTGCTTGCTGTTGTTTCTTTTGCTTTTTTTCTGTCGATTGATCCTATGTGAAAAAGTAATAAAAGGCCCTAAGGGGCGCCATGTTTTGGGATTCATGGCTAGGTGTTTTTCACTGAACGTCCCCCAGTAGGTAGCAAGAGATTTTATCAAAGATTTAAAAAATTGAGACAACAATGAAAACCGTATGCATTTGGCTTCTTTTCTGGGAGAAGGAACTTTTGAAAATTAACCAACAATGGTCTCCGAAAAGAGGAGTTTTTCGATAGACTTCTTGTTGTTTTTTTTTGTTAGGGGCGAGGGACCCCTCCCTCCACCTCCTATGGGTTTTAAAAGGTGATCCCATTGGAAAATAAACCTTGTTTCCCTTCCATGTACTGAGCCTCTGCGTGGCGAAAGGGATCAACAGACGAAGGTCTGGCTAATCAGTACACTATTTCAATACCTGTTTTTTTCTTTTTCTATTGTTAACAATAACCGCATTTTTCTATTGATGTTGACCACTTCCAGGAGTCTAGAGTCGTCTGTCAGCCTTCCGACAGCTTTTCCCCTACAGTAATCATTTTTATTTCCGAATTTTTTAAACAGTAATCCTTTTCATTTTTCGAATATTTACTTCTACAGTAATCCTTTCCACTTTGAAACTTTCCCTACAATAATCCTTTTCAGTGAAAAGTTTTCACTCTCGATTCTTTTCTTTACAATAATAATTTCCCAAATAAAAAGCTTCGAGTTTTTGTTTACCTGTAAACTCATTGGCCTTCCAGTCAATGAAAATGGCATTTGAATTCCCGCCAACGTCTTCCTCTTTGTATCCACTTTCATTGCTGAAGACATCAAATCAGAAGCAACTTTAATAGGATCCATCTGAAAATTGAATTGCTATTGACTTTTGAATTTCTCCAATAATCTCACTGCTTCAAAATCTGGAATCTTAAAACTCGTCTCAATGTCTCGATCTGTGTCACTGAAATGGTATATTCCACGTGGAACCTCTTCTGAACTTTTGTCGTCTTCTCGCGAATTTCCTAAATTTTTAGGGGTTTCTAGCTGTTTCAGGTATCCCACTAACCTTTACCGACAAGACAAATGAATGCAAGCAAAATATAGAAGAATGTTATGTGCGGAACTAGGATTCGTCCAAACATTTAATGTATCGCATACTGTACTTTTCTTCGGTTTTTGTTGTCGTCTTCTAGTTATCTCAAATGACGTGGCACGAGGGCCCGAGATACTGTAGAAGTAGATGATGTGCTCAGATGAGTCCTGGAAAAAGAGATAAAGGAAAATGGGATATAGAAAAAGTTTTAAAAATCATATCTAAGAACTAGATATACAAGAGTTGGAGAATTCTGAGCTCTGAAAATTAATTTTTTTTCCTAATTTACCGGTTTTTTAAAATGAATAAAATATTTGGAATAACATCATAATCGTTTTTTAAATTCATTTATCATATTAATTGATATATTTTCGACATACCGTAAAAACTGAAGTAGAAGGGTCCCTTATAAAGTTTGAGTTTTTCTCAGCTCCCATGCAAGATATCAAAAATGTGTCAGCTGATAAAATGTTTGTAATATTATAACAAACAGTTTACCGGCTTACAACTTTTTGATAACCTGTACAGGAACTGAGATAAATTAGCTCAAACAGGACAGTGTTGGGGCTCTTCTTTTACAGGTTTTACGGTACATAGCTTAAGAGACCAAGATGACAAGGATTTATTGGTCTATGGAAGTTAAAGTTAAAAGTCCATATTTAGCTTATCGCAAACATTTTATTAGTGGAAAGTTTTTTGACATCGTTCACAAAATGTTGTTTTTGTTATTGTGATAAAATTTTTTTAGATTACCACTTTTTGATATCTTTCACAGGAACCGAGATATTCGGGCTCACAGTTTACAGATTGGGTTGGCTTCTTTTAGAGTGATTACGGTAATTGGGCAAAAACAAAAATATACTAGAGTTATTAAATTCATTTCTAGTACAAGTATTTGTACCGAAACAAGATCAAAATTGTGAGGTCGAATCGAGAACGAAAAGAAACGATTTTGAATATGAGAGAGGGAGATTGGGAGAAAATTGGGGGCGGAGCTTATCTTGTTTCAATGACTGTTGTTGATCTTTCAATGAAGTTGATAATAGATACAGTTTGAATTGAGAAGAACAACAATGGATTTATAAAGTGCAAATAACATTAATTTATATTCCATTGAAGACGATTCCGACTAATTTTAGACTTTGAAAACGTCATTGGTCGTTGAACGATCAATTTGAATTCGATCGGAGAATAAAAGGGAAAAAGAGGAGGAAACAGAAAGAAAGGTGATAAGAGATTTGACCTATTTTATACTGAGATACCTGTTCTTTTCTCTTTTTAAACAAAAGCTTCACTGTCTTGAACAGGAATAGAGAAATGAATAAGAGAAAAAGAAGAGAGAGAGAGAGAGAGAGAGAGAGAGAGAGAGAGAGAGAGAGAGAGAGAGAGAGAGAGAGAGAGAGAGAGAGAGAGAGAGATATATATATATAATGAGAAAGTGTATCAAAATGCACCCATTTTGATCTCGTTTACATTCGTAAAAATTTCAATTTCCCCTTTCTGATTAGAACTGGAATACTGTAAAAGTCCTTTGAATCAAAACGGTTTTCTTTGCAAAACTATTCGAAGACTCCCGAGGAATAGTCTCAATGAATCCCGTGACGAAATCATAGAAATTGTGATCCTCCTTCTTCCGATTTATTCACGCCTTCAGAAGACGTTGAGGAGAAGAAGAAAAGGTTGAGATGGGGGAGAATTAAAACACAAAGATCCGACAGAAATAACACAAAGATTTGCATTTTGGTCAGAAATTAAAATGTAGAATAATCATGAGCTAAGTCTAGACAGTTTAAAAAACAGGTAAGTTGCTATAACATACGAACTTACCAAATTGTTAAGGTTACGGTAGATTGTTCGAAGTTCGAAAGTCGAAAAGAAGCCCACTCAAGCCGTCAACTTTGAGCTCAAATATATTGGTTCCTGTGAAAGATATCAAAATTTTATGAACTGATAAAATGCTTATGATAATATGATAGATATTTTGCCAGTTTACAATATTTTGATATCTTTCACAGGAAGCGAGATAATTGAGCTCAAAGTTGAGTGAGTTTCTATTAGAGGAAATATGGTAACTGCTGTGGGAGAGAAAACGCTTGCGGTCGTTGAGAAGCAGATATCGAAGCGAAAACTACCGTAATCAAATTTTTTTTCATTTTCTCGATGATTTCATGGATATTTTTGGCAGTATAAAAACGGAAAAGAATACATCATTACTAATAACATCCAACAAATTCTGTATGTCCGGATGTATGTCGCGCGCCTTTTCCCCCATTCAAAGTTGACCGATTGAGCTGAGACGTTCCTTTGTTTCACCACACCGACTGGTTTAGAAAGAATTGTCAAACAATGGCTGAAAGAACGAAAATGGAGACATATTTGGAGAAATATAAACGTTTTTCGGATTACGGTACAATCATTATTGGTTTTTTAGAAATAAGAATAATTATGATGTCCGTTTTTAAAATTTTTTTTCAGAAATCTATAAAATATGCAAAATACAGAAACAGAGTTTATGGCTTTGTTCTTTAATTTCTAAACATTTTCAGATAAAACGACTACAAAATCATTCACCCCACACTGTCAAGTTTGAGCTCAATTGTCTCTATTTCTATGAGAGCTATCAAAAAATTGTCACCTGACAAAACACTTCTGATTTTATTTTTAACAATTTATCCGTTGACAATTTTTCGAGATTTTTTTCACAGGAACCGAGACGAATTTGGTTTAAAGTTAAGGGGCTCTTCTTTAACAGTTTTTGATATGTGCGGGCAGGTGCATCATCCATACAAAATAGGTTTAAATTTTTTCAGAATAATTGTGATTCCGTTTTTTTAGCTTAATCTTTCAGTTTTCTTCTGAGAAAGTAGCCAGATTTTCTTTCAATTCCTGATCAATGTAACAAACCAACCCAATCCGTAAATATTTCCAAAGATCAATCAGTTCATTTGTATTTCTTTTGATCTTTTTTGTGATTCCGAATGATATATATCCGCATTGCTTGCTTAGTGATAGTAAAACACGATCACCTATTCATTGAAAACATTCTTTCTTCGTTAGCATACTCTTTCTCACAATTGATTCATTTGATCTTTTCCGCGGTGTGTGAGGATGAACAAGAACAACAACAAACGCCAAAACGAGTATACTAATCTTTTTATCTTTTAGAATAGGAGATAATGCGAATTTAGGTCCGAAGATGTGGCGGGGAAGAGAGGGAGAAAACAAATGTTCTGGGGGCAGGGTAAATTGGGACACGAAATATATAAGAAAACATATATAATGATTTGATTTTTCTCTGATAAAATGCACATATTTCGATGATAATCCGGAAAATGAAAGAAGCGAAAATAATACATAATAACCGATTAGTGAACGATGAGAAAGATGGGCGGGGCGTGGGTAATCATTTACAGAATGATGGGGTTTTTTCAAATTGTCTTCAAGTTGTATCTAATAGAGAGCATTGTATTTTTGTTCTTTGAGATAGGTTTCATATTAAAATAAGGGAAAATTCAGATGAATAAAAATTATGGCTTTTGATTTGCTGTTGACGGTGAAGTTGCAGCGGCAAGATCAGTTTCAATCAGTCTTTGAGCACTGCTCACATCCATTCGCTGACGTGGCATAGAGTCTTCTCCAATTTGGCGAGCGAACAGTCGTTGCTTATCCCGGAAGTCCAGCTTCGTTCCATCCGCGCCATTATCATTTCTGTTTCGATCTTGGAGCTCATTGAGACGGCGTTGACGCGGATCTCGGTAGATTTCATTAGTTCCGACGATCTGAATATGATTCTATGAGCATATAATAAGCATACCGTATTTCCTCTAATAAAAGCCCACCTCTATTTGAAGCCCACCTCTAATAGAAGCCCACCCTCTGACGTGGTTAAAATCATAAAAACGGAACTTCTAACACGAGTTCATGCAGTTCAGTTAGTGCAGTTCGTTCAGTGCAGTTCGTCTATTATATTATTGCAGACATTGTCTTTCTTTTTAAAAAATAATCCGGTGATTTCAGTTTTTGGTAATTTTGAGAAGGAGGTTGAAAAGTAGAAGCCCATGGGCTTCAATTGGAGGAAATACGGTATATTATCTTACCCCTGGAGAATCCAGAACTGGAACATCAGCAGCGAACAACATGGCTGTGTTGCTGGTTGGTGTTTGGTATTGCGATACTTCATCAATAAATTGAACTTTACGGTTTTCTGGTGGGCTAACTGGTGACATATTTTCCACACTTGAACTAGAATGTGGAACGTCATCTATCAATGTTTCAGTTCGCCGACTTTCCGACCGTTGTTGCTCTTTTTCCACATGGATCGGAATATCTCTTTCCTGGTGAGATGGTGGAGATCTGATCTCCGAAAGCATCTTTCTTGCTCGACTCTGTTCATGAGCAACATTCAAAAGTTCTCGAAACCTCCGTTGTTCTTCGTCTGTCATTGTTGATCCTTTCGATTCCAGTCGATCGAGTTCGTCATTCACCGCTTCATAGCTCATCAGTGCGATATTTGTCTTTTCCAACTTTCGAATATCAGCATCCTGAAGGCGTTCCCGTAATCCGGATTGCGGTCGAATTTGTCGAAGGACAGGTCCACCTCCATTTTGTTTCAATTGCAATGCCTGGAAATTTTTTTGTTTTAACTTGAAACAAAATTGGTTCGTTAAATACAAATGAATCAAATGTGTGCAAACTGAAACTATTGAGTAATTTCTAATTGAAAACTAAAAATGTTACGAACCTGAGTGATGGCTGTGGGAACTGCTCCTTTAATAGATGCAGGTACAGCTTTTGGCATATTCAAATCTACAGGTCGAACGATTGCTGGTTCCTGTGAAGAATTAGAAGTAGGTCCAAGATTATTATGAGATCTTGATGAGCTGACAGCTCCACCCAATGTCACATTCACACGGGGAGAAGTGTTAGACGACGATGTATTGCTTATGTTTCTATGAGAAGTTGCCAACGAGACACTCGGGATTACGGTAGTTCCCGTTGTCGTTGAAGAAGACGATGGGCTATTGTAGCCATACATGCTGGCAGGTCGGATCGAGTGAAGAGGAGCGTAGTTGGATACTGTTGGAGGGACACGATAACTGCTGCTGTTGTTGATGGAATCCTCATGGTTCGGAGTTGATCTTGCCAATGGAGAGTTCATTTCCAACTCCATGAGCTAAACAAACGAGGGGTTAGGTTCAAAGAAGAGATTTTTGCTGGAAAGAAAGAGGAGAAGTCACGCCACAAAAACACTCGAAAACAACATTCCACTAGGCTGTTTGGTAACTTACTGCTCTATGGATATCTTGAGTCGATTCACGAGCCGCTTTACTGGAATATCCAACCAATCCTCCAGAATTTCTAGGTGGAGCAAAAAGATTTGACGCTGAAGTTGGTCGGTACAAGTTACTCGACGTTGAAACGTTTGCTGGGGAAGCCGCGTTCTTTCGAAGAGCGGATGGTGATTGAGCACCGGGACGAGTTGGCTGGATTACTGTAGGACGAGTAGAGTGACGATAATGGGATGGAAGTTTATCGAAGAGTGAGCTGCGAGCACTTCCGGTCATTGATGACTGTGAGAAGGAGGCGTTAGGCTGAAACTGAAACAATTATAATAACATTAGAAGAAAAAAAAAAGGATGCGCTTACATCTTGCTGCAAATCACTTGCAGACGAACTTCGATAATGCTTGTTAGCATTGGGGTCAGCGCCAGAATTCATATGCATGTTGTGATGAGCGTAATGCTGCTGCATATGATTACTCGATGCATTTGACGAAGAATTTGAAAGCGGAGCCACGTAAGCACTATTTCTTCCAGCCTGTCCATTTTGTTGTGGTTGATTGTATCGTTGACTGTAACTTGGTGGCGGTGGCGGTGGAGCAGCATAAGTCCCATTTTGACCGAAATTCGAATAGTTTGGTGGATACTGTGGAGGTGGAATTGTTGATGGCGATGGAGCGACAAAATGGCCATTGGAAGTTGTTGGAGTTTGTGGATGGAGGAAATTGCTCAAGCCATTGCGATGGGCAGCTTGCTTACGAACTTCAAAGTGCACCTCGTTTTCGCTCTTTGTCATAAGACGGGCCGCACTGAAGAGAAACAACTTTAGAAAATATAGGAGACATTAATTGAGCTTACTCTTCTTGAGAAATTCCAATCAGTGAATGCCCGTTGACGCTCAGAAGCTGATCTCCAGTTTCGAGTCTTCCATTCAGAGCAGCCGGCGTGCCTTCCACAACCTTCTTCACATATATTCCCATTTGACGTTCACCATAACCCTGTAACTGGAAAATCTTGTTAAATTCTAGCCAAATCAGTGGGAACCTGATAAACACCAATCACAACCATTTCTATTAGCTACGGAAACTGAATATTCGGTGTGGTTTGCAAATAGATGTTTTGAGAAATTGTCAAGAAACAACAACTGCCCGAAAATAGACGGTAAGATTACGATCTCTCTATTCAAAACTAAAGGAAACTATGAAGAACGGGGGGCCGCCCGGAAACTATGCAATCAGATGAAAAGAGGAGAGAAATGAGAATAACTGATGCCAATTAGATCTCATTGAAATTTATGGCACTAGTTGCAGCTAATTATTAGATTCATGTCAGGCTTCTTCTAATCCCCCAATACTAGGGGAAATCACATATTTATAATGCTACATACCTGGGCCGCGACAATACTCAGACCGATTCCTCCCCCATTCTTTTTCAATGTCACCCTCGTGACAACATCAGATGCAGAACTTCCAAAGCTGTTACCCTGGAAAAAATAATTCAGATGTGTTTGTATTTTCCATAAATAATATTACGAATGGAGTGGGCGGAATACTGGTGAGTGTGGTCTGTGACACACTTCGGACGATCGGTTGTTGTTGTTGAGGATGCTGTTGTTGGTGATGTTGGTAGTGCTGATGATTCTGAGTTGAGTCTCCAGATCCAATGTGCATCGCGTGCATTGATGTCGTCATGGAAGGATGTGGTGTTGGTTGGGTTGGTGACATGGATACACTGTGACACAGTCTTCTATGCTGCAGTTGCTGGAGATATTGGAACAATCCATCCGGAACAGTTTTGAATTGCTCGATGAAATATCCGTCTTGTGGAATTAAAAATGGTAAATTCAAATCTTCAAACTCTTCCAATGCCATTCTCTGTCCGTCTTCTTGAGTCAAAACATCCGCTTGTTTCTCTGCCAAGTGACATATTCTATCAATAATATCGTCATCACACGGGATTTCTCCGTTTTCCGGTTGGAATCCAGATAAAATATGTACTACTTGCAAGCTGTTCAACTTGTAACACGTAGCGCCGAGGGTTGCAACATCGTTCTTCTGAGCAGCCAGCAAATTTGCAGCTTGTCTGGTCCTATCCAAATGGCATTCAGCTGCCAATTCAACGCCCATACGTTCACAAAACCGATGGATCGAATCGATTCGATATTGAAGACATTTTCCAAGACGAGTTGTCAGTGAAGCAGCTGGCAGTTCAACAGAAACCAAACTGTTGAACACGAATGCGTTGACCATGTGTAGAAGATGGCCACATAGCTGAATAGTCAACGCCGCATTCAATCCACAAACTCTTGCTTGTCTCATAGTGGTATCGAGTAGATGAATGACGTCTCCGGTTGCATCGTGATCATTCATATGAACATCCAACAGAGATCGAGCAGCAGGTCGGATCAATCCTTTGAGGATTAATACCAAACGACGGAAAATTCTTTCGATTTCAATTGAAACTTTTCCATATCGAGATGCTTTCAGTTCGGTGTCCCGTTCGACGAGATGGTTGAATTCAGATGCATTTGCCAACCAGAAAATCAAATCGTCTTTTGAATTGCATTCCTGAGCAATCTGCTTGAAATTTGATTCAATTCTCGAGAAGAACTGCACAGAATATGGTTTGTTGTGAGCGTGGAAGAATCGAAGAGCCAGATATAGTGAATAGGCTGGTGAGAGTCGGAACGACGACATTTCAGATGACGTCGCAGCTCGATTCGACATGACTTCTGCCAGGAAATCCCAAACATTATAATCTCCTATTTGAATGGAAAGTGGTATTTGGAATGGCTCTTGTGACAACTTTGATGAGAATCCACCAGATGTTGAATACGGTGGCAAGATATCTGTGAACATTTGAGGTTTTGGAATTAAGGTAATTGAGATACTTACTGTTATTGGCATGCATTAAGAGGTCTTCTTGACGAGAGGATGAGACCGATGAACCGGATATGCTGTAATTGGACTTGGTTATTCTAGTTTTATCAATTTGGTTTCGTTTTTTTTTGAAAAAATATTCTGGAGCCATTCGCCTTACAGATTTTTTAGTTGATTTGATGTAAAACTGGCATTCGTTGGAACACGAGTAACTGGTATCGGAATCGGTGGTTTTGTGTCCACTGACTGGGAGAAAGTGACACGCCGAGGACGTGGAACTGGTGCACTAGACACCGGCTCTTGGTCTGTCGAAGCCGATCGTCGGTGATAGAAATAACGAGCAGATGGTATGGGATTCTGATATGTGGAGGAAGAGGAATATTTGGGGGTGGAGACTCCAAAAGTAGTCTCTGTTTGTTGAAGACGAGATTCCGAGTTGAACCGACGCATCTGTTTTTTTGTGCCAGGTTAGATGGAAAATGAACAGAGAAATAGAGAAGATGAAGACGACAGATGTGAGTACAAATAAATGATCTAACACAAGTTACTAGAATAGGAAGGTTCGATATTATTGTATAAAATGACTTGTTGTTCACATAAATACTTACAAAACCTATATCTTTCTTTCTCACCACCCACATCGAAAAAATCAACAAAAACTTTTCGTTTTTGTACACCGAAAAAAGCAAATAAAGCCTAGACAAGACGATCCTTCTGATCATACTTGTCACCGAGAGATTCGAGGTATTCGAGAAGAAAAGGGAAAAATGATTGGCAAGAAAAATGATCAGAAATGTGGATGAATACGCATGCACCACACATTTTGGGGTATTGATGATGACTCACAGAGAGAAAGAGAGACGGTCTTCTTTTTTCCTCAACGACATATTTACATTTCTCACTCTCACCCTCACTCTTACCTCTTATCATTAAATGACACTATATCAGTTAGAGAGTCAACCCTCATCGATTATTCAAAAAGTAGGGAGGTGACAGAAAAGAAAGTTAAAAAATTGTAGGAGGTTATCGGAATACCTATAAACTATTCGACTGTGTCGAAAAGGAAAGCGGGAGGAAATGTGAGTCAGAAATGAAGGAAATTTCGGGTATGCTGAAAGAGTTGGAGACGCCATTCAAAACTAATAATTCTGGAAAAGGAGAAAATTGGTATTGCATTCTTATGAAAAAAACAGCGCTCAATTTTCTCCATATTTTTATATTTCCACAAACTTGAACGACCACTAATTTCAGCTGTTTTCTGATTTTTTTTTTGCTTACTAATATTTCCAGAAACGAACATTTTCAGAATCTACGATTTTCAGAATTCCAGAATTTCGGATTTTCAGGCTTTCAAGTTTTCAAGTTTTCAAAATTTCAGAACTTCCAAGTTTCAGAATTTCGGATTCCCAGAATTTCAGAATTTCAGAACGTTAGAATTTTGGATTTTCAGGTCTTTCGAAAATTCAGAATTTCAGAATTTCATATTTTTGAATTTCAGAACTTCCGAACTTCGGATTTTTTAACTTTCAAATTTTCTTATCTAACAGAGGAGAGGGGAGGGTAGAAGATGCGAACGGAGAGCAATAAATTCCTCAAAAGCATAAAACATTCGAAAATCGGCAAGAAATAAAAAGAGAGGAAGAGAGAAAGAGGGTGTTAGTACCTCTCTTTTCAATAAAGGTGTCCTTCAATCGAATGGTCAGGTCTCTTTTTGAAAAAAAAATGTTTCTCTTTTGTGTGCTCCATGCCGGCTAAATTAAAATGGAAGGTGTGGGAAAATGGCAATCTGATATAACAAGGGCTCACTGGATAGTATAGACGAGTTCCAAAACACTATTCCTCCTGGGAGGTCGTTCATAATAAATAATTGATGCTGGGTTGAAATAAAAGGTGACTCTCGTCATTGTCATAGTAGCTATACACCTTATTTTCTCGGAAGTTGGTGTTGACATGTATAGTGGTTATATTGCCATTGAAACAAAAACATCAAAAACTGCATTTCTGTCACCACAGACACACTTTTATAATGATGATGATGATGGAATGAGGATAAAGAAATCAAAAGAAGAAGCAGAAGGAAAATGGTCGGAAATGGCAAATATGAGCAATGGATAAAGAAATCTCATAAACTCCTTTTTGGAAGAAGACGTACTAGAAAGCAAAGCGAGAACTTTGAAAAAAGAAGGTAGAAGCTTGGAAAGGAACTTGACAGAGGAGACACTTATAATTTGTATGTCAAAAAAAAGGAAACTTCCCAAAGACATCTGAACACAACACACACCCACGAGCACCAAACTTTTAGTATTACGAATGACGAAAAAAGAAGAACGGCTTCATTTTGCATATTACTGTTTGCTGTTGTCACCTCTCCCTCTCTCTCTTCTTTCTCTTCGTGTACTGTTCTGCATATTTGATATATATTTCCTCGTTTTTACTACAATCTCCATATTGTTGTGTAAAACAGGGAAGAGAGAAAGCGATACTATGAGAGAGAGGGTGTTTAGAGAAAACGAATGGCTCCAGGAACACTTTTTTTTTAAAATCGCACCTGGGTGGGTAGTAGTCGTTGTTTCCTCCGCCTTGCGCAAGCGGTAGACTACAGTAATCCGATGGTCCACACCTGGCGGTTGAGGCACGTGAATCAACCTGTAAATCAAAGGAATTGAATTATGAATTCATATGAAGAAGAGGTGGGAAGATATGAAAAAAAAATGGAGAAAAAGAGGAATGTTATGAGTCACCGTATTTGTTCAAATGCTTAGAAATCCTTACTAAAAATAGTCGTTGAGTGTGAAATTTTTGGGATTTCAAAAATTTCGTAAACATTGATTTTGAAAGCCGATCCATAAAGACATACAATTTCCTTTGGGCCAATTTTTCTCGGTCCCTGTCAAAGAAATCGAAAAATTTATCAACTGGAAACTTGTTTATGATAATATCAGAAGTATTTTATTAGTTGCCAACATTTTTACATATGACAGGAACCGAGATTCCTTGACTCCAATTTAAATGCTAGAGGAGACTTATATTACATATTTTACAGTATCCATTTTCGTTAAATGCTTTTCAAACTACAACAACTTACCATTTCTGCGTAATTCTGCTGCTGGAAATGTTTTTGGTTCGCTTGAGGACCACCACTGAATTTGAATAGATGATCGGCTCCGATGCGTATAGTGTCCCCTTCTCGGAGTATCTCCGTCTGCATCAGTTGTCGGCCGTTCACCTGAAAGGCAAAAAAGTTAGAAAAAACATATTTCAAATATTTCAGTTAACTTAAAAAAGTGTGAAAGGCGGTATGAAGATTTTTATCTAATTGTCGAGAATAAATTTTGAAGAGGTGAATAATCTTCTCGATCGAAAATGAAGTCATTGTTCAAAAATATTCAAAGAGAATCAGGGAAGCAGAGTGAACATAGCGGTGGGAGAGGAGACATCGAGAATTAAGGATATATGTGTCTAGATTATAAGAAATTGATCGGAGATTCCGATATAATAACGCTGACCACCACTACCACACCGCCACCGTTTCTTTGCGGCCGCCATAAAGAAAGCCATGGGGAAAAGAACGAGGCGAAAATGAGAAAGGAATGTGTGGAAAGACGAAGAAAAACGAATGAAAATGGGGGTGACAATTAATTAACAAACATGTTCCAAGTTTCGAAAAGTACAGTACCAGCTAATTATAGAAAATAAACATTCGAAAAATCCCAAATTTGTTGTACAAACAGGAGCTTCCTGAAAAACGTGTCTTTCTTACAGTAACGAAATTCTAGTTTGACAACTAACTACGCATTTTACTGGTTGCATACTTTAGTACATTCTACTACCGTAGTGACCGGAATACCTACAATGAAAAGTAATAAAACAACTAGGCTGGACTATGGATCGTCGCAAAGAAGAGAACCCATAAAACTAAGACGAGAAGATGTGAATTGGGTGATAATGACTGTATGGAGACTACGCTTCCGGAAATATTTAGAGGCACTCCCTTTTCATTCTGATGTTAGACAAACGACTGATAGAATGGATGATAGGTTCCCTGGATTTCTGACAGTTCTTCAAAGTTGAATACTTCTTAAAAATCCCCGTAAAACCTATAATAGAAGGGCACCTACACTGTACAGTTTAATCTCGGCTCCTATAAGTGATATCAAAAATGTGTCAACTGATAAAACTTTTTTGATATTATGAGAAGCAATTTATCAGCTGAAAACTTCTTTATATCATTGACAGGAACTGAGATAAATTTGCTCAGGCATCGAGGAAAATGAAGGTATAAAAACCTGTAGAACACAAAATAACTGGGTAAAACTGTGAATATATCCGGTGAAACCGAACGAGTGTCACCCCCATCTATTTCGATGTGCGGTAGTTGAGTCGTAATACAAAAAACCAACAATGAAATAAAAGAGAGAGAGAGAACGAGGCGCCGTAATGCAGCTATCCCAACAAGCTTCTTCTCCCAGGTATGGTCATTCGGTCAGATGGCGGGAAAGAGAGAAAAAGGGGAAAAAAAACCAATCTTGTTCACAGCCCAACACAGCACACACTCCATTTGGAAAAGAAAATGGATCGGAACGAGGCAGCAAAACGAAAAAAACGTCTAGGCTGCGGTTTTCGAGAAAACGGATAATTTGTATTTACAAACATAACCAAAAGTTTCCATCATATTCTCGAGGTCGTTTATTTCGAATTTAGAATCTAGGAAACCATTGTTTCCCTGGCTGAATGCCAATAGAAGGAGAAGATGCGGAAGGGAGAGAGGATTATCAAGAGATAATTACAGCTTATTTTTACTTCGCCAGAAGTATTCAGATGAAGTCGTTTAGGGCAAGAATAAAATGAAGACGATGAAGAAGTGGAAGAAGAACAAGACCAAAAAATGTTGGAAACGTCGTTAAAAACCGATGACTTCGGTTGGATGAACATAGCAAAAATATTCAGGTTTCCTCTTACTGGGAAGAAAAAATAATCTGATTTCGTGAGAAAGTTGTATTTAGGAATGGGAGGTAATTTTCTGAGAAAGGAAAAAGAAGAGGAAGAAGCCGATGGTAAACGCTGAGAAGCCTAGAACGAAATGGATCTTTATGAAGAGAGACTTTTGAAGAAGAAAAAGAAGAGAGGAAGAAGAAGAAGAAGGAATGCCGCAATGCCCGTTTTGTGGAAGGAATGATGGTTTCGC